CCCCCTCCCTTGTACTCTCTCTAAAAATCCATGGAAAATTATCCTTAGGTGAAGATTAACAAAACAAAACAAAAATAATTCAAATTTAAAAATTGCTAGAAAAAATATAGCAGACCACATTTATGACTTTAGAACTAGGAAATAATTTTTTTAAACACAAAAGGCAAAGAAAACACAAGTTAAAAGAAAAGCTACAGAGCGGGATATCTGCAATAAAAATAAATGGCAAAGAATATCAAGAATATTTAAACTATAACAACAAAAGGCAAATTCCTAACAGAGCAATGGACAAAGGTTACAAATAGGCAAATCACAGAACAGAAACCCAATAAACATACAAAAAAAATGCTCAACCTCATCAAACTCATACTGCACTGAGTGTAAAATTAAAACAACTACTTGAGTTGAAGATGTCTTATAATGCAACAATTTCACATTTTGGTGTATATCCCATGGAAATTCTTATTCATGTACAAGGAAGATAGGTATTACAAGAACATTCATTGCAAAATGGATTGTAATAACAAAAAAACTGGAAACTATATGCCCAGAATATAGTTTCAGAATGAGTGAATAAATTGCAGTATATTTCTACATTAGACTACTAGAGTTAAAAATGAACAAATTAGTGGTACACATATCAACATTTATATTCTTAAAAACAAAGTTGAGTGAAAAAGCAACCTACAGATTTACCTCATTCCTATGAATTTTTAAAACTTGCAAAACAGCAAGTTTTATAGATACATATTCAGCCACAACATAAAAATATTAGGAAGAGTCCTAGCTTTTTTTCCTCAGTGGTTAGAGCATTAGCCTGAGCACTGAAGGGTCCTGGGTTCGATTCCGGTCAAGGGCATGTACCTTGGTTGCAGGCTCGATCCCTGCTCCCATTCAGGGAACATGCAGGAGGCAACCAATCTCTCACATCGATGTTTCTCTCTGCTCTCCCCCTCTCTTCCACACTCTCTAAAAGTCAATGAAAAAAATATCTTTGAGTGAGGCTTAACAAATATCTATCTATCTATCTATATATATATACACACACATACACATATGTGTATATGTGTATGTGTGTGTGTGTATATATATATATACATATATATATTAGAAAGAATGATCAATATCACATTTATGAGAAGGGTTACCTCTGGGAAGGGAGAAGGGGAATGGGAATATGAAAGGGAACAGAGAGGTTCATCAACTCTATCCTATCTAATAATAGACAAACATGGTAATTGACCATACCTTCACTATGCCTCCCATTGGCTAATCAGTGTGATATGCAAATTAACAGCCAACAAAGATGGTGGTAAATTTGCATATGTAGGCTCCAAGCGGCGGAGGGAAGACTGAAGGTGAGCCGGAGCAGCTAAGACGGAAGACTGAAGGCGGCATGGCCAGAGCAGCGAAGACGGAAGACTGAAGGCAGCTCCGGCCGGAGCAGCGAAGACAAAAGACTGAAGGCGGCTCCGGCCGGAAAGAAGGCCTGGGTCCTAGGTGCTGGAGGAAAACAAACCTGTGCTGGCAGCCAGGAGAAGGGAAGGCCTATTGCACGAATCTCTTCGTGCAACAGGCCTCTAGTCTTTAATAATAGCCAGCCAGCCATATAGATAAAATATAATATTAAATTTCAACATTATGAGTACATGGGTGTTTGTTATTTTCTATACCTCTATATATTTAAAATATTAACATAAACTTCTTTAAAAGGAAACATTTAAGAAAAATGAACTACAGTATTAACACAAATACATATCAAAAACAGATATATAGTATAATATTTACATACTATCCTATATAACAAAAGCCTCATATGCTAAGTGCCTGGTCATCTGGTTGGCCGTTCAACCAATCAAAGTGTAATATGCTAATGATATGCTAAGGTCGCTCAACCACTCACTATGACATGCACTGACCACAAAGGGCAGACAGTCGACCGGTCAACCAAGTCGCTATGACATGCACTGATCACCAGGGGGTAGACAGTGGGACATCCCCTGAGGGCTCCCAGACTGCAAGAGGGCCCAGGCCGAGCTGAGAGACACCCCCCACCCCTAGTATAGTATAAAACAAAAGTTTTTCATAGCTATATTCACATTGGTAATTGTATAGACTTTCATGGGAATGACACTCCAAATTCAGGATGATGGTTAACTCTGGGCAGGGAATAAGAGAAACAGGACTGGGGAAAGGTACATAGGAAGTTTCAGTCAAATCTAATATGATTTCTCTAAAAAGTCTAAAGCAAATATGGTTTACTAAAGCTTAGTACTGGATGATTTAAAAAAACTATTATTTACATATATGTACGTATGTAAATAGCAAGAGTAGCAACAATAAATGAAGAAAATGATTAAGAAAGCTAACATTTGAGCACTTATATAGTAGGTACTTTTCTAAGTGTCTGCATGTATATTAAAAACAATCCTAGGAGATGGATTCCTGCTCCAGAGTTTACAGCTTAATAACTATGTTATTGTTATTATATCATTCTCTATTTCTTTCAGTATGTTGGAAATCCAACATTTCTGTAAGTTGGAAAAATATTTTTAACCTATGACTACAAAGGAATGTATGTGCTCACACATACACACACATATATCTGTGTAGCTTAAGCTGGTTCTAAAGATGCTAAAAGAATCCTAGGAATGTCTTAAAAATAGCAACATCCCAATTACTCTAATTTACATGTTTGAGGTTTGGTTTTTTAAAAAAATACATTTTTATTGATTTCAGAGAGGAAGGGAGAGCAAGAGAGATAGAAACATAGATGAGAGAGAATCATTGATTGGGTGCCTCCTGCACGACCCCCCACTGGGGATCGAGCCTGCAACCTGAGCATGTGCCTTTGACTGGAATCAAACCTGGGACCCTTCAGTCTGCAGATCGGCACTGTATCCACTAAGCCATACCGACCAGGGCAAGGTTTAGTATTTTTTAGATCATTTTTTCATAGTTAAACTTTGTTTTTTTAATTACCCTAAGATAATATATATTTGGAATCTTAGATAACTTATATGGGGAAGCATATGATGTAATTCGATCACCTTTTTCTCTCATTAGGGGCAAAATTAGATTATTTTCAGGACTGAAAATTCATATTAAGAGTTTTTAATAAGTAATTCTGCTAAGAAATATAATACAATTTCAATTATTCATTCTTTCTGATCTCTTTATTTTGAGTTTATTTTTAAAAAGCCAGTAGCTAATATTTATACAATAAAAATATAATTTTGCATAGGACTATTTATACAACAAAATAAAAGGGGAATTGGCATTTTTATTCATCAAATATTTATAAGCTTTGACTATGTGCTAATCACACATTCCTTATTCCCAGTACCACCGTTACCTTTTTTGTTGTTGTTGTTAATCCTCACCCGAGGATATTTTTCCATTGACTTTTAGAGAGTGGAAGGGAGTGGGAGAGATAGAAACATCGATGTGAGAGAGACATGTTGACTGGTTGCCTGCTGCACGTGTCCTGACTGAGACGGAGCATCAAGCCTAAAACCAAGGTACATACCCTTGACCAGACTCAAACCTGGGACCCTTCAGTACAAGGGCCCACACTCTATCCACTGAGCCAAACTGGCTAGGACTATTACCATTTCTTATGTCTCTTCTTCTCAATCTATACACCCACATTCTCAATGGTATTATCTACTAACCTACAGAATATTCATTTAAAATATGAAAGCAAAAGAATTTCTTGCTTTCAAAGAATTCACCATCTAGCAGGAGAAATAGACAAGTAAAATACATAAGTACTTTAAGAAAGACATTTAAAAGGTATTAGAGAAACATTAGGGTTGGGGTAGATGAAAAGGTGGCTGGTGTACTTCCAAGAATAGGAAACCTGGAACATGATGAACAGGAGACAACTCTTTCAAGAAAACTCGTCTTAAAAGGAAGAAGAGAGGGTAATAGCTAGTGGCATAGTTCCAGAGAAGGTTTTAAGATGAGAGAGATAAATACTTAGCATCAACTCCTCTGAATTACTTTCCTTGTTCCACTTCTCTCCTAGGACCTAAATCCCAGGTGAGTGTGAGCAAGCTACTATACATTTCTAAGCCTCAAAGGAGACAGATGCTTAAGAACTTTATAGAGGGAACCTGAAAATGATCTCTAAAGTTTTTTCAAGATCTAAAATTCTAAGATTCTATTATTATGATTACCTAATCTCTTTAAACCAGTGGTTCTCAACCTGTGGGTCGCGACCCCTTTGGGGGTCGAACGACCCTTTCACAGGGGTTGCCTAAGACCATCGGAAAACACATATATAATTACATATTGTTTTTGTGATTAATCACTATGCATTATGTTCAATTTGTAACAATGAAAATACATCCTGCATATCAGATATTTACATTATGATTCATAACAGTAGCAAAATTACAGTTATGAAGTAGCAACGAAAATAATTTTATGGTTGGGGATCACCACAACATGAGGAACTGTATTAAAGGGTCGCGGCATTAGGAAGGTTGAGAACCACTGCTTTAAACTAAAAAGTAAATCACAAAATATTCAGTATGCAAAAGAGAAAACTGAGACCAATTAAGAGATGAACTGGTTTGTACAACTGCATTCTATTATTTTTGCAAAACTGTTAAAACAATTAATTCCTATTTTGAACATCAGTAAAATTTCTATAAAAAGACAGTACCTTTTTACCAGAGTTGGTAAAGTGCTTCTTCCCCTCAAACCTGCGGAGTTTTAAAGAATCAACAAGCAGCTATTTTGTAATAACAGATGTAAATTGCTTAAAAGCCCATACCTTAAAATGGTAAAAGTCTTATTTTAAAAGGAAGATGTTTATAGAAACATATGCATGACATTATTACAATATATTTGTTTATTATCTTTCGCTTTAAAACTTTATATACAAATTGAAGGTTCATGAATTTTTTTAAAACCCCAGCTAAGATTAGCTCTTCATAGTAATATGCCTTCTTTTCACTATTACACAAAATTTAGAACAAGGTTTCCCTTACCTGATATGGACATGGAATGTGATATTCTCTGCAGCGTTCTTGTATCCATGTTGTTTCCCAGATGCCACGGTAAGCTTGCTCATAAAAATAGCATCCAATTACAACCAAGAGTGGTACCAGATAAAGAATGCTGAAAACACCAATCCGGATCATAAACTTCACCAATTTATCTTGGTTCTCCTTTTCTAATGGAATCTCAATTCGAACTCTGTTTAGGGATATAATGCCAGCTAAAAGGAGTGAAACCCCAACTACCACATATAGGCAGAGGGGTGCAAGAACAAAGTATCTCAATGCATCAACATCGTAGAGGCCAACAAAACACACGCCACTGATATTGTCACCTTCAATTTTATTCATCGCTAAAAGGATGATAGTTAGAGTTCCAGGGATGCCCCATGCACTGGCGTGAAACAGCAATGCTTTCTTCTCAATAGCTTCACTACCCCACTTTGGCACAGCTGCCAAGAACCATGTGATGGTAAGAATTACCCACCAAACGCTGCCAGCCATAGTAAAAAAATAAAGTACCATAAAAAGCATGGTACAAGCTTTATTATGAGATCCTTGCGTCACTGTGGAAGCCTTATACTGTGCAGGGCTAGATGCATTGCAGGCTACTCGGTCCTCAAGCAAAAACCCAATGAAGAAAATTAATGATACCATCATGTAGCAGACTGCATAAAATATAATAGGTCTTTCAGGATAACGAAATCTTGTGACATCAATCAAAAAAGTTAAAAAAGTAAACAACGTGGCAGAGAGGCAAATGATTGAGATCAATCCTATGAAATATCGAGCAAATGATAGTTCTTCTCTCCTAAAGTACATATTTGGACAAGGAGGTGAACAATCACGCACGTGCAAAAAAGAATAACCAAGATCAGGATCAATTTTCAACTCCCGGGGACACCAAAAACCATAGTCCCTCTGCACTGCCACTGGGGCTCCTTCAGTAGGATCTCCAGCTAAATTCAGATCCACAAGTCGAGGGTATGGCTCATCACAATCTGGGAACCTATAAAATACAAGATGAGAACCATTTTACTTATTGGGAAATCACTGCTACTTAACAATTTGGATTTCCAAAATTACCACCTGTGACCTTACTATTTATCCTTACGTACTTAGAGCACATTACAATAAGTAGAAATAAAGTAAACGGTAATATTTTCTGTTTGGTTCACAGAACTAGATTTTCCATAGTTGACCAAAAATGATAATGTTTCATACTTAATTTTGTCTTAGCTTTAAAAACAGTACTCTTGCCGGTTTCATGGGTTCGATTCCCAGTCAAGGACATATACCTTGGTTGAAAGTTCCTTAGCCCCGGTAGGGGCTCGACCAGGAGGCAGCCAATCGATGTGTCTCTCTTGTGTCGATGTTTTTCTCTCTCTCTCGCCCTTCTCCCTCCCAGTCTCTCTAGAATTCTTGGGTCAGGATTAAAACAATGACGAAAACAGTACTCTTTTTTAAAATAGTCAAGCATAGCCATCCAAAAAAGGTGTATGCCCAGCCAGCATGGCTCAGTGGTTGAGTGTTACTGGTTGATTCCTGGTTAGAGCACATGCCCAGGTTGCAGGCTCGATCCCCAGTGTGGGGCGTGCAGCGGGCAGCTGATCCATGACTCTCTCTCATCATTGATGTTTCTCTCTCTCTCTCCCTCTCCCTTCTTCTCTGAAATCAATAAAAAAATTTTTTTAAAGGTGTATATATAAACTATTTATTTAGAACAGTTTAGAGCATTGCCAAATATAAAATATATATAAAACAGGTAAAATAAATACATGTAAGTATATAGTTCCAACAGAATAGAAGCTAGAAGTTAGTTTGGTCTAACTACAGTATAGTCTTCAACTTACCCTATATTCACATAAGAACTTACTTAAACATAAGTTAAAAATATTCCCTAAATGCATGTTCCAAGGTATTTTGAGTTAGATTAACATTAAAAATCCTTATAAGTGGCTAATATACTAGTTTATATGCATCAATAGTTTCCAAGGAACTATCACTTATATTGTTTGCCAAATGCATGCATAACCTTATGCTGTAGTGGATTAATCCTTTATTTTTTGATACAAGCCATTTTCTTCACAGGGGTTGGAATTAGAAAGCTAAAGTTTTTAGCGTTTTCCCCCCATTTTACAGTCATTCTCTGCTTATCATATTGTTTAATTAAAGGCCTTCTAAGATCTCTAATGTCAACTATTTCCTTCCTACCATCCCTAATTTCTCTCCAATCCATTGCATTCTCTACTTCAGTTATTCTCAAACTTTAAAGTGCATGAGAAAACTTAAGATCCTTTTAAAATGTAAATTCTTGGTCCCCACCACCACAAATCATATTACAATATACTCTTGTTAGGGCCCAAGAAATCTGCATTTTAACAATTTTCCAGATCCACAGACTTGAGAAAGTGCCATAGCCTCAGGACAGAGAAAATAGGGCAGACATACTTACATGACTAATAGTACCATCCTCATGAACTTCCTGCATCTTCAATTTTCTTGCCAGTAGCAGTTGCTAAGTCCTCAGACTCTCACTAACTAAATGTTTACTAGTTTATATGCATCAAATAGTTTCCAAGGAACTATCATTTATATTGTTTGCCAAATGCATGTATAACCTTATGCTGTAGTGGATAATCTTTTATTTTTTGATACAAACCATTTTCTTCACAGGGCTTGGAATTATAAAGCCAAAAGACAGAAACTTACTGCATTCAGGCATTTATTGGAATCCTGAAGTATGCCAGGGGTTTAACATAAACAGACAAAAGAACAGGATCTCTATCCTTCAGTCTAAAAGGAGATACATACTGGTAAAAACAACAAAAAAGACAGCAGTGTGATACATGAAGCAATCAAAATCTATATAAAGTATAAAATGATGTAGAGAAGGATTAATTATTTCAGGAGAAGAGGTTATAAAAGACTTCACAGGGTAAGTCTCTTAACATAAAATTTTGAATCAGTACTTGCCAGTATTGGAAGTATGCCAAACAGTATTTTAGCAAGAAATGCAAGCAAAAGCATACAGATGTGAACAGGGTGTGTTTAGTACTACTGGAGCATGAGGTGTGCATGACTTGTGACAGGGATGAGATTGGAGAAGCAAGCATATTGCAGAAACGTGTGTGTGTGTGTGTGTGTGTGTGTGTGTGTGTGTGTATAACACTGATAAAATTTAAAACCATGCAAAGTAATACTATGTATTTTTATGGATGTATTTGTACATATCTAACTTCCAATTCAACACATACACGTCCTTCACTCAAAACCAAACTCTTGATTTCCACTCCTTAGATTTCTCCATCTCCATAAATGATAATTTCATTCTAGCTGCCTAGGCCAAAAACTTTGGGGTCATCTTCTCTCTCATTTACACTTCAGAATCTACCAGCAAATCCTGTCATTCTACTTTGTGATATTCCAGAATCTGACCACTTCTCTTTTTCTCCACTGCTGGCCCCCAGTTTGACATCAGTGCCTCTTCCCTGAACTTCCAATTGATCTCCACTTCCATACAGCAGCCACTCCTGTGCTCATGATCATATTTCTTCTGTTCAAAATCCTCTAACAACTTCCCTTCTCACTCTGAGTCAAATTCAAATTCATATTAGAGCTACAAAACTACTCCCCCAGTATTTTTCTGATTCTATTTAACCTTTCCATTCTCCCTCCCTCACTTAGCTCCAGCCCCTTTGATCTCTTTGTTCTCTGAATATGCAAAGCATTCTTCCACTTCAGAACCTCTGAACTTGCTCCTCTGTTTCTTCTGCCCCTAGACCAGGGGTGGGCAAACTTTTTGACTCGAGGGCCACAATGGGTTCTTAAACTGGACCGGAGGGCCGGAACAAAAGCATGGATGGAGTGTTTGTGTGAACTAATATAAATTCAAAGTAAACATCATTACATAAAAGGGTACGGTCTTTTTTTTTTTTTAGTTTTATTCATTTCAAACGGGCGGATCCGGCCCGCGGGCCGTAGTTTGCCCACGGCTGCCCTAGACTATTCTTTCCTAGATATCTGTATTTGTTCTCCCACTTTACTTAGGTCCCTGTTCCAATGGAGTGTTTGTGTGAACTAATATAAATTCAAAGTAAACATCATTACATAAAAGGGTACGGTCTTTTTTTTTTTTTAGTTTTATTCATTTCAAACGGGCGGATCCGGCCCGCGGGCCGTAGTTTGCCCACGGCTGCCCTAGACTATTCTTTCCTAGATATCTGTATTTGTTCTCCCACTTTACTTAGGTCCCTGTCCCTGTTTTGATAAGGCCTCCTTATCAAAAAGGCCTTCCCCAATGCCTCCACAGAAAATGGAAAATACAATATTCCCTGTATTGTATCACTATCACCTAACTCTATTATTTTTTTAAATTTATCTTTACTGTTGAAAGTATTACAGATGTCCCATTTCCCCCCCACCCGTTTACCCCCTTCAACCTGTGCCCCACCCCCAGGCCTTCACCACCACATTATTGTCTATATCCATGGGTTATGCATATAATGCATATAAGTTCTTTGGTTAATCTGTTCTCACCCACCCAACCACCGTGTCTTCCCTCTGAGATTCATCAGTCTGTTCCATACTTCTATGTCTCTGATCTCTACTCTTAACAGCATTTGTTACCAGCTGACATTATCTATCTCCCACCACTAGAATTTTAGCTCCATAAGAACAGAGATGTTTTGTTTACTGTTCATCTTCAACATAGAATAGTGCCCACACACAGAGCACATCCACTTAATATTTGTTAAATTAATGATTATTGAATAAATATATTCATATAACCCTACCCCAAGAAATTAGAAAGATGACTAAGAGCAGTGTGGAAGATAGATAGAGCTGGGCAAAAATGGAGACAGAGATACCAGTTGAGCCAGAACTAAAACCATGTAAGGCAGTGAGAATGTGACAGCTATGAAATTAGTTAGATGGGATTTATAACTGATTAAATGTGGAAGTTAAGGTCAATAAAGTTGGAAGATGACTTCCAGGCAATAAAAAAATGATCTAGAAATAAAGTAAATTTTGAACATGTTGAAACTGAGTTATCTGAGACAAATTCAGGCCAGCATTTCCAATGGCTTTGGATATGCAGATATAGAATTTGGTAGGAAGATAATCAAAGCTACATATTTAGATTTAGTAGTCATCAGTATATGAATAAAAGTTTAAACCAGTAAGATTATATTATCTGGGGGAAGCATGTAGAATCAAAGAGAATAGGAACAGAACTCTGAGAAGCACCCGTGTTTAATAGTCAGAAAGCAGTAAAGGATCCAATAAAGAAAATTGAAAGGATTGGTTTGAGATGTAACAGGCTACAACGGTTCACACATGATGGCCTAACTGGTTTTCAGGAGAGGACAGGTTGAGGTTAAGGGGAATAAGAGTCAAATAGAGAATAAAAGTGAAATGAATTATATAGATTTAGCTTAGGTGCTTAGGGGGATGAGCACAAATTTCCCTACTGACCAAAGACAAACAGCAAATAGAATTGCTATGGTTTGAATCATTAAATAATATAGCACAGGTAATTTATAAAACATTGGTTGAATCAATCAGTTTGGGGATCTGAGCAAATATAGTGGAAGAAATAAATTAAAAATGCTAGCAAAAGTGTTATTTCAAGTGATGGACCACAAAGCTTAAGCTACGTTAGGAAATAATTAAGATCAGGAAGGGGTCTATTGGGAGAGTAAAAAAACACAAAAGTCTAGGGGTGTCCATGAAGCGAAGATGGGTACAGTAGAAACAAAAATATGAGAGATGTGGAAGAATGAAGAGTTGTTATGAAAGACCAGCTTGCCAGGATTTAAGCTTTCAGAGTTAGGCAATCCCAAGCAATAGTGAGGACATAAAATAGATTTAATCTTATCAAAATAAAGACATAAAGATCATAATGAGATTTCTATACATGTATATACACTTTTAACATAAAAAGACCACTAAATATGAGAGTTAGATACAAGAAACAAAACAGGATTCTGGCCCAGTCAAAAAATTTACAAACTTCTGAAGAGGTACTATAAACACAATCAGGTATTTGAGGAGAGAGTGGATAAGAAAGCAAAATGTCAGTGAATTGACTACAAGAAATTAATGTTTTATTTTTTAAATTTTCCATCTCTCAAATGAGAATAACACCACCTGCTTTTTACCTGCCTCCAAGGACTACTGTCAGATGATAAACAAATTTAATTTTAAACATGAAGGAGACAATGTTCACTGTAGCATTGTTCATAATAGCAAAAACCTGGAAATAACCCAAATGACCATCCTTAGGAGATAGCTAAATAACTATAGGATATTAGTACAATTGGCCATTATATAGCAACTAAAGGGAATGAACCAGACCTAAAGATATAAACATAGGTACACGTAAAAAAAATTTAATGTTGCTTATGGATATGTATATATGTAGTAAGAGTATAAAAACAAACACAGGAATGATTAACAACAAATTTAACATGATTACTTCATCTCTGGGGAGGAAAGAAGGTAATGAAATCAAGGCAGGTACCAAGGAAGGAATTTTCAATTTCATCTAAATTTTTTTTTTTCCTTAAAAAGAAAAAATCAGCCCAGCTGGTGTGGCTCAGTGATTGACCTATAAACCAGGAGGTCATGGTTTGATTCCCAGTCAGGACACATGCCCAGGTTGTGGGCTCGATCCCCAGTGTGGGGCAGCCAATCAATGATTGGCTCTCATGACTGATGTTTCTATCTCTCCCCCTCTCCCTTCCTCTCTGAAATAAAAAAAAAATATATGTATATTTTTTTAAATTAAGACTAATATATATGTACTTTAAAAAGTTTTTAAAAACTGATGAACAAGAAGACAAGTAATTTTTAAATATATTGCAACATAAGTAATGATCCATAAAAATATGATTTTCGCACCTACTGCATTCCATATCTTCAGGCCAAGGAACACCAAACATCTCCATAAGTTTTGAACATTCGCTGTAAGCCCGCTGACACAGTCTACGACAGGGAAGTGTGACACGTCCATATTCCATACAAATAGGAGCATAGAGTGCACAAAGAAATGGCCGGAAATCCCGAGAACAATCCAGATTCACCATAGGGTGGAATGGCTAGGAAAAAGTTAAAATTGAATCATTAGAGAAAGATTTCTATATAAATTAAAGTTTTCTATATACCATATTGCAATATTCAATTTTTTGTTTAAAAAATTCTGAAAGTTATTAAATATTTTTAAGGAGGGTTTTTGTTTGTTTTGTTTTGTTTTTAACAAACCATCTTAGCCCCACCCCTAGAGATTCTGATTTGGTTAAGTCTGAGATATATCCCAGAATCTATATGTATATTTTAATTGTTACTGGTGATATTAATGTAGAGACAAGCCTGAGAACCAATAATAACAATATGCTCCATTTTATAAAGAAAAAAAATATGTAGGATAAATGCTCAAAAGATTACTTCTTGGGATGAGATTACAAGAAATTTTAATATTCTTCCTTTTATGTATTTCAATTTCTATATTTTCTTCAATTAACATGTATCAACAGGAGAGAGGACAAAAAGTAAAAAGGAAAGAGAGGGGAGGAAGAGAAGTAGTTAAACTAGTTATTTTGAGGGAGAGAAGTAAGGAAGAGATCTCTCACCTTTTCTCATACTTTCTTGTTCTTTTTACATTAAAAATTAAAGATAAAACAAAAGAGAGTTCTTTAAACTCTGAAATCACTTGATGTAAACAGAGCTAACTATAAGCTGATATTAAGAAAGCAAAAAGGAATAAATAGTGGCTCCAAACATAAAACCATATTAAATCATCATTAAAACCACAGGAATAGATCAAATATCCCAGGAAGTGTACATCTGGGCTTTTAATTTTTTTAATATATATATTTTTTATTGATTTCAGAGAGGAAGGGAGAGGGAGAGAGAGATAGAAACATCAATGATGAGAGATTATCAATGATGACAGACAATCACTGATGGGCTACCTTCTGCACGCTCCACACTGGGGATCAGGACCCTTCAGTTCACAGGCCGCCGCTCTAGCCACTGAGCCTAACTAGCTAGGACACATCTGGGCTTTTGACAAGCAAATATTTTTTCACTTGTTTACATAATAGTTTCAGAGTCATTGTTGATTTTGAATTGATAACAAATATTCTCACTACCAGGCCTATTGAGTAAGAATCAATTTACTTCTACACTGATAAATATTAACAAGAGATCTCCTATACACAATACAATCAGAAAAGCAAGAGTCACTTAAAGAAACTGATGTCAAAGAAGTTAACTGTAGAACAGGAACAAGACAGGGATGTTGGCTTTCACTACTCTTATTCAACATAGTACTGGAAGTCCTAGCCACAATGATCAGACAAGAAGAAAAAATAAAAGGCATTCAAATTGGAAAGGAGGAAGTAAAACTCTCATTATTCACAGATGATATTGTTCATAGAAAATCCTAAAGACTCTACCAAAAAACTAGTAGATTTAATAAATGAATTAGGCAATATAGCAGAATACAAAATTAACACCCAAAAATCGATGGCTTTTTTATACATCAATAATGAATTCTCAGAAAGGGAGCCTAAATAAACAACCCCATTTACCATTGAAAAAAAATATTAAAACACTTAGGAATAAACTTAACCAAGGAGGTAAAAGTCTGTACTCGGCAAACTACAGGACATTGAAAAAAGAGCTAGAGGAAAATATTAACATGTGGAAGAATATACCGCTTTCATGGATTGGTAAAATTAACATCATTTAGTACCAACCTCTCCCTTCCTCTCTGAAATAAAAAAAAAATATATGTATATTTTTTTAAATTAAGACTAATATATATGTACTTTAAAAAGTTTTTAAAAACTGATGAACAAGAAGACAAGTAATTTTTAAATATATTGCAACATAAGTAATGATCCATAAAAATATGATTTTCGCACCTACTGCATTCCATATCTTCAGGCCAAGGAACACCAAACATCTCCATAAGTTTTGAACATTCGCTGTAAGCCCGCTGACACAGTCTACGACAGGGAAGTGTGACACGTCCATATTCCATACAAATAGGAGCATAGAGTGCACAAAGAAATGGCCGGAAATCCCGAGAACAATCCAGATTCACCATAGGGTGGAATGGCTAGGAAAAAGTTAAAATTGAATCATTAGAGAAAGATTTCTATATAAATTAAAGTTTTCTATATACCATATTGCAATATTCAATTTTTTGTTTAAAAAATTCTGAAAGTTATTAAATATTTTTAAGGAGGGTTTTTGTTTGTTTTGTTTTGTTTTTAACAAACCATCTTAGCCCCACCCCTAGAGATTCTGATTTGGTTAAGTCTGAGATATATCCCAGAATCTATATGTATATTTTAATTGTTACTGGTGATATTAATGTAGAGACAAGCCTGAGAACCAATAATAACAATATGCTCCATTTTATAAAGAAAAAAAATATGTAGGATAAATGCTCAAAAGATTACTTCTTGGGATGAGATTACAAGAAATTTTAATATTCTTCCTTTTATGTATTTCAATTTCTATATTTTCTTCAATTAACATGTATCAACAGGAGAGAGGACAAAAAGTAAAAAGGAAAGAGAGGGGAGGAAGAGAAGTAGTTAAACTAGTTATTTTGAGGGAGAGAAGTAAGGAAGAGATCTCTCACCTTTTCTCATACTTTCTTGTTCTTTTTACATTAAAAATTAAAGATAAAATAAGAGAGTTCTTTAAACTCTGAAATCACTTGATGTAAACAGAGCTAACTATAAGCTGATATTAAGAAAGCAAAAAGGAATAAATAGTGGCTCCAAACATAAAACCATATTAAATCATCATTAAAACCACAGGAATAGATCAAATATCCCAGGAAGTGTACATCTGGGCTTTTAATTTTTTTAATATATATATTTTTTATTGATTTCAGAGAGGAAGGGAGAGGGAGAGAGAGAGAGAAACATCAATGATGAGAGACCATCAATGATGAGAGACAATCACTGATGGGCTACCTTCTGCACGCTCCACACTGGGGATCAGGACCCTTCAGTTCACAGGCCGCCGCTCTAGCCACTGAGCCTAACTAGCTAGGACACATCTGGGCTTTTGACAAGCAAATATTTTTTCACTTGTTTACATAATAGTTTCAGAGTCATTGTTGATTTTGAATTGATAACAAATATTCTCACTACCAGGCCTATTGAGTAAGAATCAATTTACTTCTACACTGATAAATATTAACAAGAGATCTCCTATACACAATACAATCAGAAAAGCAAGAGTCACTTAAAGAAACTGATGTCAAAGAAGTTAACTGTAGAACAGGAACAAGACAGGGATGTTGGCTTTCACTACTCTTATTCAACATAGTACTGGAAGTCCTAGCCACAATGATCAGACAAGAAGAAAAAATAAAAGGCATTCAAATTGGAAAGGAGGAAGTAAAACTCTCATTATTC